GACACAAACCCACAGCTAATCCTGAGCCCCACTCAGACAAGCGATCTAGCAGCAAACCTGCCTCGTAAGGCAATGTAGGATCTTGCCCTACTGAATACTAACCCTATCCTGACTGAGTGCAGTGGCCTATATTTAGCAGGGATCTGGGGCAAAAAAAAGCTGTTCAACCCTATCTGCAAATGTTGCATCTCATCTTTGTAGGTTTCCCTAGACCTATGACTGCACATCTTCTTAACCCAGGAGTCTTCAGGCTTGATATCAGTGTATTTCATTCTAATAGCAATGCTAACCCTATCCTTATCTGCAAGCTAATGACCATATCCTTCCCATAACTAAAAGTTAGCCACAAGGCAACAATGGACTTAGTCATCAATCTGCTACTCTGCAAAACCTGTAGAATTTAACTGTTCAGCACTGGTCATCCTATAATCAAACAACAGCTATAAGAAAGTTTTTTGACCAGTGTTGTTGCAGACTAGATAACACATTTGTCCTTACCAATGCCACCTCTAATTTAATGTTCTGGCCTAACCACAGCCATATTAAGTGAGTGCCTTAAGTATTTTAACTCTCAAATATCAACTCTTGCCCTAGTCTTATCCATAGCCCAACACAAACACGTACCCAAAGGCTACCAATAAGCCCTTCATCTCCACTGGCATTAGCTCTCACTCAATCCTAATGAACTTGTAAGACTCCAACAATAAATCAAGTTCTCCAGAACCTGATGTCCAAAACACTAATCCCCAAACACCACACTTTCAGGACTTTCTAGATTCAGCAATAACAGGTTCTCTCATCCCTGCCATCCTGAAACCCCAGCCTACCTACGAGCTGGTAACTCATACCCATCCAAAAATTAGTCATAACTTGCTCATCTAAGCCAACCTCAGCATTCGTCCTACTCTTTGGCCTCCTAGAGGAGAGGAAAGAAGTCCAAAAAAAAACCCCAAACAAAAAAAACCAACAAAAAACCAAGCAAGGTCAGAAATTTCTAACATCTGGAAGCCTAGGCTTAGCCCTAATGCTAATATTAACTACAGCTCACCACCCCTATATTCTTCTCCAGAATTAACAGAAAAGCTTTCAGCCCATGCTAGCAGGATTTTCATTCTGTCAGCACAGTTCTTGCAGAAGCTAGCTCTGAATCCAAGTGCTGTCATTTTAAACCAAATCCTAGCAATGTGACCCACCCTGCCACTGAACTGACAAGAGGACTTTCAGTCATTCCCAGCTGAGAAGAAACTGCAGGAACTCTTCCTGCCCAAAACAGCCCCCCATCCCAGCGCAAGGGGCTTTGCAGCATTCAGCAACATGCCAAATTTTGGCACTCCTACTCTAGAGGACAAGCACAACGCTTAACTGGGAGTCTGATCCCTTTGCTGCTATGTGGCACGTATCTGGGAGGGAAGGGGGCACATGAACCCACGGGAGAAATTCTACCCATCCTTTTTCTTCCTTCCATATTTCCTCCCCTCAGAAAGTTCTTTGCTCCCTGGCAGTGACAGGGAGGAGGTAACATATATGGGAATAGAGGTAGAGGAGGTAAATGGCACAAATAGCCTGGGCTGTGGCACACACTGTGCACACAGTATCAGCCTTTTGCTGGGAACGTGTTTTCTTTTCTTCAGCCCCTGATCTTCTCAGGAGACAGCAGGCCTAACTGAATTAACCAGCCTTCTCTTTCTCCCTGAGCTCAGGCCAAGAAACCATGACATCCAGGTGCAAGATGGACAGACATAATCACCCAGGCATCTCAGGGCAGGTAAGCGTAGCTCACCTTGGAAACCACTCAAGTGCAGGCAATTTAGCTGACTCTGACCACAAGCTGAAAGTCAACAAAGCAAGTAGAAGAATGAGAAGATCATGCTGGAAGTTGGGAGCGAAGCCTTTGCCAGATGGGATTAGGGCAGACTGTGCCAGACACAGTTTTCTCAGAGTTTGGAGGACACAGGAGTTTTTGAAGTAATAAACTACTCCGTTCAGAACAGGACTAACATATACCACACAGGGTTTTGGGGCAAATCATGGGGCTGGGAAACATGCACATGTGGAAGAAGAACCAAAGCATTATAGAAAAGAAAAGGCATCAATCTAAAAATTAAGAAATAGATTTCAAGGCTCCTTGGAAACAGCACAACCTCATTCAGCTGTAAAAATAACACTGAGATGAATGGGTCACTTTCTCTTCCCACTCCAGTCTCCTACATTCTAGAAGAAAATGCAAAACCCCTTTACACACTTAGCCCAGAACTAGCGTGGGGACTTTACGTGCCCACAAACCCATCTCTTCCTGCTGTCTTAATAGCACATACGCATCTCCCATGTGCTTCCTTCCCCCTGCACAACAGTCCTTTCAGTCTTATCAGGGGTATGAAGTAGCCGCAAAGGGAATGAAATTACTGCATTTGTGTATTTGAGAGAAACACCTAGGAGCAGCTGCGACATGAAAGTCATCACAGCAAAAGTTGATTCTGCCTCTCAGTGTACCGATTATACTACCTCAGGCTCAACGGCATAGCTCCTAATTAAATGCAGCCAGAGTAAACATGCATCCGACTGAAAACATCATCTAGACATTGGTACAAAAGGTGATGTCTTGTTACAATTGTTTTCTCTCTATGGCAGCCTACAAGGTTGCAGCTTGCTATATTAGATCATCATATGACATCCCAATAGACCTTTCAGTAGCTGCGCATAAAGATCTGAATCGATGTCTATTTTTAAAGTGTAACAGGTATTTCCTTATCATAGATAATCAGTTTTATAGTTCATGCAAGCCATCTTTGCAACATATTTGTTAATAGCGTTCACTATCATGCTGATGTACAAACCCAAGTTTTTGATTTTCTATCCTAAAACTAATTACAAAAAAAGATATTTTTTTTTAATCATAGCACAACAGACCACTTTTGGAGGATCCTCAAAAAACCAAATCCTTGCTCCTAATTTTCTACTCTGATCGCATTTATTCTTAAATAAAATCAAATAAAGTAATGATGCTGCTGCAAAAGTAAGACAAAAGACTATTCCTCAGGGAAGAAAAAAATAAAATTCCAAATGCATTACATATTCAATTTGAAACATTGTTGGAAAAATATGTTCAGAGCTCAAAACAAGTCAAACTGTTTCTCTGACTAATAATTTCATTGCAAGAAACACGGATGCACTAAAGAAAACTAGTTAGGAGAAAAGAAGGAATAGAAAGCTAAAATGTTTTCTCTTTGAATTGCGGCTACTACAAAAAAGTGACTGACTGGAAGATGGAAATCCCCCCTCTCCGATACACTTCATTACATCCTATCCTCTTCACCTAGTTCCCCCTCTGGAAAACCCTGGCTGCAGGAGAAGTCACACAGTCTGGCATACCTAAAATGGACAGCATATTTTCATCACCATACGTCTGCTTTCAAAGCACAAAGGCAACTAAAAAGTCCCAAATTTATTTCTGGAAACCTCTGACACATCACAGCACTGTTTTGCCTCTACCCCCACATCCACATTCAAAATTCACTGAGGGAGCAGACTGTAAGCTGTACGGCCAACAGGAAACACACTGAATTCATCTCCATTCAGCCCCCTGGTGACCGACCACCTGCCAATAGGGAACTGGAACACGGTCAACTTGAAATTAGCAAACAGGTGGCCCCAGAGTGGTACATAACAGAATTTCAGCTATCACACAGACTAACAAAATCTACTGACATCAAAACTTAAAATAGTGTGTTGAGTCTTTCATTAGGTTGCATTCATTTGATCAATCAGGTTCTCAAACAGGGGGAGCATCACTTCCACTACTGCTCATCTTGGGCATGAATGTCCTGTTACCCAGAACTCTCTTCCTAAATCTCCCTGCCTTCAACTGCAACTGCTAATCTAGCCTTGCATACTTGACAAATTTGAAATTTTCAAGCCAGCAGTCACCACAGGGAACAGAAATGAAACTTCACAGACTAGACAGTTAATTGATTAAGGAATTAAAAGTTTTGTTGTTGCTTTCTTTAATAAACCAACCTCAACCATAATTTTCACAAAGGCTTTTAGAGAACAGATAGTTGTATAGCATGCAATAAAACACATCCCTTTGCTTATTATAGAATACCAGTACCCATTAAATACTTAAAATTATTGCTACATTTGTAAGGATAATTTTCCTGCCCTGTACAATTCACAGCTAAATCAGCTAAAAGTCCTGAACTGAGGAGAAAATCTGTGTGGAAAGTAGATGTCTGGAGAATAGGCTGCCTGTACCACAAGCACCCCAACACTAGCTGTTTCAAGTTTCTACAACTGTTACACGTGCGCAAGTCTGTGACGGCAGAAAGCCTGAAGAACTTAACCTGGTGTCCTCTTCCGTATTTTCAGAACTGGTGCAGTACTGAGGTGCCAGCTGCAGCACAATGACATCAATACTCATAAAGGTACAGCAAAAGCACCCTGAGATGTGACGTGGGCTCCATCTACCGGAGCTCAGCTTCATGCCAAATTGCTGCTGCCGCATCGCTGATCACACAAAATGAGTAAGAAATAGAACTGCAATATATTATAGTGTCTGGGAATTATGCGCTCTCATATGCCCTCACTGAACTTAAGAAACACTAGGATTTCTAGTTTTTTGCAAGCTCAAAACACTAGATGTCTTATTTTGTTTTAGTTACGGGGTTTTATTACATATATAAAGTTTAGCTTTTGAAGGATTAAAAGATTTCCATACTTTTAAATTCTTTAATGTAAAAAAAAAAATTACAATTTAATGATTTCGGTATCCATTAACAATGCACTGAAAATATAAGAACAAAGACAATATGAAAAATGTCAAGATTTAGACCCATTTTATAAACATAATTGAAAAAGATACATAGGATACTGCAGGATCTAATGGCCTATTAATGTTTAAAGTAAAGAGAAAAAAAAAAAGATTTGTGATGTTTTCAAAGTACTTGAACATTAATTGTGTATTACCCTCCTAGCCAATGAACCTGACAGCATGCAAGACCTACCTGTGGGCTTGTCTTTCTAAACGTGTCAGTTCCGTGTATCACATCTCTTATTATTCTTTCTCTGAGATTATCATACTCCTCTTCAGTGAGGTCACTATCCTCCAACTGATGGTTGCAAACTGGGCACTGTCCACTGTAATAGTAAAACAAAAAAACAGAAGGATAAAGGCTTTTATATAAGAAATTTTAGTAACTTATTGAGTGCCTGTGTACGAGCACAATTCTTTACAAGAACTCCAACACAGTACAATCATCAGAAAATTAGTTGTACTCTTTCTGGGATGCATCCAAATCCTACTAAAGTGACTAGAAATATTTTTATGTGATTTACTGCGATCAGGATCAAAGACTTAACTCTAGAGACATTTGAGGATTTAGGACTAAAATTCTGCATGAGAGCATGGGGAAAAAAAGAGTATTTAAATATTCACCAGCACTTAACTAGGCCTTGAGAGATCAGAGTTCAATTCTCAGCATTACCACATTTCTAATATGTAGAAGTTTCCCTACTACACATGAAAGTCCCCACAGAAACATACAGCCCAGATCTCCATGTGGGAAGGTGATGCAGTTGCACTGGTTTGGCCAGCACGTATGAAGTAGCTGTAGGCATACTAGTTGAAGCTAGCAGGCAGGCCGCAGAACCTTGGTCTAGCTATAAATCCATTCCAAAGTGTTACAACAAGAAAATGCACCAGTTAAATGTTCCAATATTGTGCCACTGACTGCTCCTACAAAAAAGCTAAGCTATCTGTGCCTGGTTTATCAAGGCTTGGAATAGCAAAACCTGTCACAGGTGTAGGAATACCCTAACCCTAAAGAAAAAACAAAACATAAAATAAATAAATAAAGAAAAGGTAACATAAATCTGCTGTATTGTTGGAAAAGCAAATAATAAGCAAGACTGCCTTCTTTGTGCCACTTGTCTTTTGCTATTAGACTTCCCCTTATTTCTAGGCTAAGACCGTTTGAGCAGATCTGTCTAAGGTGGTCAAAGTGAACAAACTGAGAACATGCTTGCTTTGAAAGCCCAGAACAATTCTAAGTCACACTGATACTGCATGTCTGTACAATGCCCAGTTCCACTAGAGATTTCTAGTATCAGGCTGACTGTACCCAAACAGAAAGCAGTTTTACATTGCTATCTCCTGGCGGCTAATCACTACTTGTTTCTTTTTTGCTAAGAAACTTTTGTTCCTGCTGTGTAACACAGGCTAAATATCATCACATCCATCTAGGAACGTGGACTGTTGCAGGTGAAAAAGCTCTGCAGCTACAGTCAGCCAATGCCATCATTTAGTGATCACTTCCCAGAGCCAGAAACACCACTCCATCATGCACAGCTATGTCAGTGATTGTGTGACTGCATGCAGTGCCGGGACAGTTTCTTTCATCATTCACATCGCCCACTTCTCAGTACTCTTAGTTTCCCTACTGCAGGGCCAGCAGCTATGGTAACAATTGAGGTTTTGCAAATTCCAAATTACACATTGTTCTGTCTCTGACAAACACAAGAACTCTCCACTGATCTGTTCATGCATGTTTTTAATACTAAAAGACTGAAGAGATTGAAAATCCATCATAAAAGAAAAGATTACAGAATAGAACAATAAGGGATGTGAAAAAACAGACATCAAACTCTTTAGCTTCCTCAAGGAGAGTGCTGGCATACCATAGCAGATCCTGAAAAATTTTCCAGAACAGCATGAGTGAGGCAATGCTACAGAGAACACTCAGATCCATGCCAGCCATGAGGCACAAGTGTTTGTCTAACCAATCTAGTGCTGCAGAAACTCCCCAGCACTGGGAAAGTCCATCAAAACAAACCCCAACCACAAGAACAACCTCAACTTCTTGTTGGGGTGTTATTCCTACAGTCTGCTAGCACTGCACACACATAATTCCAAGACACAAAACAAGACAGGCCTAACTTCCATGGCCACCTCTGGATTTTTGTATGGTCTTCCAGAACTGTATCTTGAGTCAAAGAACAAACATCATCTTTAATATCTAGCCTTTTCTGTTGTTTCATGTCTCACAGTCACAACCTCTGCCCTAATGCATAGTCTACAGGAAACCAAACTGGAACTGTCATTGCTTCCATGTCCCATTTGTCCATTCTTTTCTTTCCTAGTTGTCTCTCCCATTAGCCCCTATAAAGTAAACACATAATCAACACAGTGCACAACTCCATACCCAAGTCAAAAATGTATGTCATGCATCATCACCATGAGCCTCTGGGCCCACCACAAAACCAGCATGTAAGGTGGGGTAACAGTGGAGGACTGAGACAAAAAAACCTGCATCTCTGTGCTTGAAGTGTGAACTACATTAAACTTTTTTTTTTTCCCCAAAAAAACTTATCTGAAAGTTTTGCAGATACGCTTTCTACAGACAAACCAATGAGCTACAAATATACATAGTACCTGAGTACACTTCTTGACTTGCATCTCTGATTGCGGGTTAAACCTAGAAATTTTTCCAAGCTTAACTCTTTAATAGCTACATGAAAAAGGAAAAAGAAATGGTCAGATAGGACATTAACAAACACTAAGGGAATTCACAGTTAGTCATGTCTGTTCTCAAGCACTTCTGCCAAGAATATTAGACATAAGATCCAGCTTGCATCTTCATCACCAGACTGGACACTCCAGCCACAGTACCAAGAAAATAAGCAGAACCTAATAGCTTCTCCAGCAGGCAATAAAATGACCCTTAGTCTGAAGGCATCTTTGGTTCTTCCTGGCTGACAAACAATGCCACTTGCTCCCACTTAAGCATCTCTTACACGCAGGATATGTTGTTGATGTTTCACATTTTTCTATCATGCTCAGAAGCTATTCACCCAGCTGGGCATAGTTTGAACTGAAGGAGTAACCATTCTTCTCTGAATCCATCCAAATACCTTATTTTCACAAGCACAATCTCAGAACCGAGTAGTAGGATTTGAGCTTTAAGTGTTAAAATGGAACAGATCATTCTCCCTGGCTGTCTCCACAGGGACATCCTAGAGATGCCAAAGCTATAATTTTCTAAAACTATGGCAATCAGAAATGTTAAATTCTCCCAATAATTGTGTCTATACATTAATACACATACCATAAGCCGAGACTGCATTAATTGCAATGCTGACAGTGCATTTACTGAATCGAAAAAAGTTATGCATGGAATGTCAGCAATGGACATTCACTGCTGCACACAAACAATACACTCCAGTTGCTCAACCCACTGTGGCCACTGCAGGCTTAGCCTATGTATTAATATAAGCAACAAGACTGGCTCCTCATATAGCTGTAAAGTTACCATGAGATACATCTAATTGCATTAAGGAACTTCACAGTTTGGCAACAGAGAAGAAAGGCCTAACGAAGTGTTATGAGACGATTTCAAAATCATTAGGCCTAACATTTAAGGACCTGTCCCATACTTAACTTGGATCCTTCTGCGACTACCACTTTCAGATTACTTGAAAAAAACAAACCTCCCCCATACCCCAACAAATCAACTCACCCCAACCACTGAGCAACAGCCAAAGCTCCCAAAGCCAGTTTCTTCTTGTGAATTCTCAATGTGGATTCCCAAAGGGAGAAGCAGCACAAGAAAAACTCAGCATTTTGCAAGACTGGACCCTTAGTGTAACCGCTGCTTTATTCCAACCATACCTTTAAAATTACCTTGCAATTTTTGTAACTTCTCACTGATCATTTTAGGATTTCATGCTGAGAAATTCCCACACCCACAGCTTTCACCTCTGTAGGAAATATAGCTGTCCTTACAGCTAATTGACCATTTAACTACTTTTTTGAGAGACTACTTTTTTGAGATAGATAGACAGACAGACAGACAGATTTGGAGTATCATGGCATCTACGCCTCAAACATGAAGTCAGACACGCTACAGTAATTTGAACACAGGCTCACAAAACTCCAACTGCAGCTTTCCATAGCTGACCTTTGAAATCCAAAGCTTTTGTAACTCTCAAAGAAATAAGGTCAGCAAACTTCAAGGTTTGTTTGCAGAGAGTTCAAGCTTCTGACTATCACAGTTCAAAGAAACTAGGAGCTCAGTGCTAGAGGAAGAAGAAAATATCCTGCATGTGAGCATCTTTGATATATCTGCCAGTATTTATACAAAATCAGAATAACCTGTGAATAAGCCCATTAAATTGTCAAACTCAGTTCAGGAAAAAATAGTTGTTCTGGATTTTTTTAACTCCAGTTGAAACATGCTTTAAGACATAAGTTATGCAGACTGCAGAGACCAGTCTAGTAGCAATCACCACATGAGTTTCAGAGATACCTTAAGGGCTTTGTCCTTTATGATCAAGATTAAAAAAACACAAAATAACCCCAAGGAAAACCAACAAACTTTTTTTTTTTTTTGCTTTCTTAAATCCTAAGGATCTTTTCTGACAGCAGCCATTTAATTTAAACACAATAAAAATCTTATATTCTTTTTCTTTTCATGAAGCCATTTAAATTTTATTCAAATACTTATCCAAGTAGCCTACCTCAAACTTGTTTATTTCAAAACAAAAAGTGTTCATACACCTATCACAAAATAATTACCATATGGCATCTTGTCACTACTGTGTTCAGACTCTTAATCCATGATAAAATGTGAGGTGATATAAGTTAGTTTAGCTCTTAAAGTCTGTAAAAGAGTTTACAGACAGTAAGATAACAAACTTCATCTTAACCAAAACAATCAGCTTTAGAATTTTAAAACTCTAAAGGCTGAAAAAGGTTGTCTAGAATTTGGTAAATACAGTATAGTTACACATATGCACTCATACATAATAATAATAATCCACTTTCCAGTGAGCAATCCCTACTCTTAGGACAGGGAGTTACACTGTTCTTTCATGGGCTTCAAAACCAGCAGACTCTACATGTGCTTTTACTTCAGAGTATGCAACACAGTGTATTTTTAAAAAAACACCAAAACCCCCCATAATCTATTGGAGTCATTCTTATAATCAATACATTTATAGTCGCAAAATTGCTATGAAACCACAGAACTATGTTTTGGGACATGGTTTAGTAAACATGGTGGTGTTGGGTTGACGGTTGGACTTGATGATCTTAGAGGTCTTCTCCAATCTTAAGATTCTATGATTCTATGAAATAGAGTAACATTTAAAATAGAAATTTACAGACATTAAGAAAACTCTGCTGTAATAGAAACATGTGTCCAAGTTACCCCTGTGAAAATCTAATATAAGAATCATTTTGTCTTCACTGAAAATCAGGTGGGAAGGGAGAACCCTTCCATCTGTACAAATTAACTGCAGCATGTGAGTAGTATCAGTTTTCCAGAAGACATTCATTTACACACAAAACTGCTCTGTTAAATATCCTGTTAAACAATGGTATTATGTAGCCAACCAAAAAAGTAAGTCTTTAATTCCTAAACAGTAAACAAATAAGCCAGCTCTTATTTTTCTCTGCAATTTTCTGTCTTAGCTCTGCTTAGCATAACTCCTTTCCAACTGTGCATGTTGGGTCTTGTTTAATACACAAGAATGAGTTGGGAACTGGAATTCTGGAAATCGTATGTACACAGCAAAGGTTCATATTCTTAAGGATTAAAATCTTTTCTTATATAAGGAAAGCTATCTTTTATATTCATGAAAGAAGAGTTCAAAATAGAATAATCAAAGACAACACCTCACTTTTAAAAAAAATGTTGCATTTACCTGTCTTTAATGTTGGTCAGCTGTCCTCTCCAGTTCCCTCCTGGTATACTAATATGTACACAGGGAAAGATAAATAAAACATTAGATTCTTATTTAACAATACCTGGATTACAGATAAAGAATAATTCTATTTTGGTCAACATTTAGAAATAAAAGACCAATTAATCATCTACCCTCCAAAGATTCATATATAATTTAGCAGTGCTTGAAAATATAAAGAACCAGCATTTAACAACATGCAGAGAACTAACATCATCAACCTTCCCTGTTTATGTTGTCCCCAAATATTAAGAACCAAACAAATAACCAGGCTGCACTGACATTTTTTAAGTTGCTGCCCTACACATTCATAAAGCACCTCAGAAAACAGATAGGAAAGCAGGAATCAAGATTTCTATGCAGATGTCATTCTGAGAAATTAAGAAAGATACGCTCATAACAAAATGCTACACTGAGCCTTTTTGACTTCATATCATTATCTTCATCATTGTCACCGCCACCATCATGCTGGTGTAAATAGTCCTTATTGCCCACAGGATCCCAAATGGAATAGGCTACAGAATAGGAATATCCACACCAACATGCAACTGCAGACATCTTTCCCTTTGCCACTGTGTTTATTATCATAGGCTGCACAATCACACATGCCATAGGCTTTGGAGTAACCATCCTGCCTCTGCTCTCCTTTCACATTTCTCATGCTGATACATAGCGGTTCTTTAGTTTTCTTACAAAGACAGTAGGCAACAGAAAATGCTCTGATTCTTTGTTGCAGGCTCAGATCTCTGTATTTGCTTTACTCAGTAGTATAACTCAGTGCCTGTTTGCTCTTCAGAAAAATCATTTTTTAAAACTAACACCTATTCAGTTAAACTCGCAGAGCTCACTTCCATGCTTACTGTACCATCTGTTTCCTTGGTCAGCAAAAGTTACCTCCCAGCCTGCATTGTTTTTGCAAGACTAACAGTGCTAGAAGTTACCCGATTCTATTTCTTTTTGGGAACTCCACGTAAACTGCTTATTTATTTTCAACCACCAGCATATACAAATTCAGTGCTGGCAAGTGGAACAGACAGGTAAAACTAAGCATTTTGTACAGGTCCACAGATAAAAAGCCAGAAAGGATAACTGATCACCTAGTTTCATCCCTCTGTTATGGACTTTGTTTCTTCTTCATGTTTGAAACACTACTTCCTCTAGGGAAACACCCAACATTCATCTTAAAACATGAGCCTACTACAATCTTTCATGAATTGTTCTAACAGTCAAACACAGTATTAAAGATACAAAGAGGAGTTTGCACGTCCAGCTTCAGCTTGCAGCACTGGTTTGCCACTATATACAGGCAACATATGGTTCTTCAACATACTCACTGCCCCTGCAGTCTCCTTCTCAAGGACTTTTTACTACGTTGAGTTTCCTGTACATGCAGCACACACCTACAGGTAAGTCCTCCTCTAGTCACTGGGAAAATAGCACCCCGCCACATACTTTCAGCCACTAAACCAATTCACCTCAACTGAAGCCTACTCTGTCTGCTCCCTGGCTGTTCCCAGGAAAGAAAACAGCTAGGGGACAGCAGTGTAAACCATTCTATTAGTGATAGTGCGTTCCCACAGCCATATTTTCTATCCAGGAAGACTAACTTGTAAATTGAAGCCAACAGTTAAAAAAGAGTCACAGATGGGCTCACATACAACAGCATGACAAATATGCAGTGGGCTCAGGTGAACTGTGCATGTGCAGCATAACTAGTTGCAATTTGCAGTCTGTCCGTCACTGCCCATGAAAACAAACTGCGTGGCCTGCTAAGTACTGCGCTAAAACAAAGAGCCTCCTATCAAGATAATTCGTCTCCTATTATTCTATACAGAGTCAACACTTAATCTTCACTTAACCTAAGCTAAATTTGGTGGCTCTCTCCTTTAAAGAGAGAAACTACCTAATTTTCAAATAACTTACTACTTCTATACTCTGATATAGGAAAAACTATAGGAAAAACCCTTATATCTGTCAATATTCCAAATGTACCAACCCCAGAAAGAGATGAAGTCAGATACTTTGGATAGCTATGACCCATCACAATTTCCTACTTTCTGTATCAGGGAATAATATTTAACAGGTAAAATCTTTCAAGGAAAGGTGAAATCAGTATGAACTTTACACTTGGAGCAAAAATAAAATGCATCCTTTCGTGACAATATATCTCTTATGGAAAAGCAACAATCAAAATGAGATGGTGAGGGCTCTTATTAGACTTGATCTGTGGAATAATCTGAATCCCATCCTCATGAACAGGAGCTTGCTATTGAAATATTATTTACCTTTCAAACCATAGCTTTATACTCCGCATAAACATTTTGTGAGGGTATATTTGGTTGTTTCTCAAATATAAGAGGATACCAAACAGCTCTTTTTGTAACTCGGCACCTTTCATACCCCTGCTGAAGTCAAAAAAGGCCTGCAGGACATCCAAGGTTGGCACCAAATCCTTAGTCAACATTTCACGGTAAAGTTCAAATGCGAGGTTCATTTCTTGGTGACGGCCAGCTGCTTTGATACAGCATTCATAGTTAGTCCGTGAGGGAATCATAATCTTTTTTACTTCTTCCAAAAGAGTCAAGGCCATTTTCCACTGATCTGAATTACTCAGCCCCCTGATAATAAGGTTGTAAGCCCCACTTTCTAAAATCTTAAATTTTGTTTTCATTATCTCATACACATCATGAATTTCTGAAGTCTGCCCCTGCTGGACACACAATGCCAGATATTTGACCAACAAATTATAGCCAATGTCACCATTATTCTTTGCCACATGGGTCAGCAAGGACTTGGCCACATCGATGGGGCTGTTGCACCTGATCATACTGTTAAACATCACTTCTTCAAATACGGCAGGTGATTGAAAGCTTTCCCTCAGTCTGTTCCATTCCTCAGCCTGCAAAGGTTTTTCTGGAGGCTGTATGTTGGTAAATTTATGCCTTGACAGAACTTGACTCATTAACTGTTTCTTTGGAGCTCCAACAGAGGAAGAAAAGTGGAGCTTCCCTTCAGATATTTCTTTAGTCTCCTCATCCCATCCTTTTTTTTCTTCATCATAATAAATTTCAGACCTTTTCTTGGTAGGAAAGACATCAGTTCCTTTGGGATCCACTGGTAACGCAGTGCTGGAAGAGGTCATATAACTGAAATAGCTAGCCTTTTCCCTACTGGGGATGCTAAAAGAGACAGCTAACAGTTGTTGGCATCTTGAAATAGGCCAAAACATACGACATTTCCATAGCAAAGCCTGAAAACAATGTTGACTAGTTTGAGAAAAGAGTGCCATGACAAGAAAAATTAGCTATTAGCCCACTGTATAGAACAAAGTTATAAAATGGAAGATGCAGTTTACATCAGGACGTTTATTATAAAAGCCCAGGGGCTGTCAAGCTGTATAAGCTTCAGTTTCAAAATGCTTGTTCTATGAATCCTTTCTGCTTCTTAAGACAACAAAAAAAGGTAAATTTTTTCTTTCACAAAAATCAATCTCTTCAGACTGTGGGAACATTCATCCAAAATGAGGGTATCTTTCTTCCTAGAGAAGATGCTTTGCAGGTTTTCAGCTTCTCATTTCTGTTTGTTGGTTACTGTAAAGATGAGTACTAAGTATGTTGTACGCAGACAGGCAACTCTGGTGCGGCTAGACAAAAAGCACAGATTTTTTTCTTCCTGCCTTCACCCAAGTCGAGTTGGAAGGTTTCCTAAAAATAAAAATAACACCACAACATCATGACCTGCTTCGTGCTTTCCTGTCGTATTTACATCTGCATGCTAGCAAACACAAAGTTCAAGATACCTCGACAGTTTCAGGTCAGGAATCCCATTCCTGATCCCTCAGGCAGCCCCACCACAGGATTCCTACATTGGTTTCCTCATACCTTTCAACCTGTGACAAACTTCCGTTGAACTGGCTTCCCCAATCATAAATCCTTGGTAATGCTGCTGCCAAAGAGGCAGAGCAACACCACTGGCAGTAACTACAGTGAAATCTCACGTAAATGTTAAGTTATAAACGTAAATATGAGGAGGTTCATGGGCAGCCGGTGCGTTTCATGAGGCCTCACGTCCCTCACTCGGTGCCCTGCATGCTCGGCCCGGCCGCGCCCCCGTACACTACAACTCCCAGCGTGCACAGCGGCCCGGCCCTCAGCAGCGCCCGGCCGGCTGGGAAACACTCTCCCCCTCCTCCCTTTACCCCGCCAGAGCGTAACGAAGCACGGTCCCGGTGATCCATCCCATCCCGGGATGGGCCTACCTCGCTCGGTGCGCG